AGATACGAAGATGTTGTTATAATACCTAATACTTCTTTAAGAACAACTCCAGGTTAATAAAAACTAGCAATTTTTACTTATTTCTATCTCAAATTCTTGCAATTTAACAACAAAAATAAATCTTACAAAAATGTCTACTATTAACTTCCAAATTGAAGAAACTGAAGTTCCTCAAGAAATTGCCAACTCAGTTCAACGTATGTTTCAAATATTTGTTAATATTTTTTTATTATTTTACTAACTTTATTTTAGAATTAAGAAACCCTGAAAGATCAATATATGAACTTTCAAGACGTGTTTTGACTCTTGAAGAAACAAATTCAAATCTTCAAGATAGAGTTAAATCTCTTAGTGAGATAGTTTCAACTTTTAACAAAACATTAAAATCTTATAATTATATTATTTTTATTTTATTATTTATTATTTTTATTACTTTTATTTTTAACGGTTCTTTTTGTTATTATTTGTATCAACAATCTGTTGAAGAAAAACAAAAAAAAGAACTGTTTATTAAATCATTAGTTAACTTAATTGGTAAGGAGGATGGACAGTTGGGCTGTTTATTTTCTAATTAGTTTTCACTGTTCACGATGTGTGTGAAACTGAATTTTCAGTTTCACATACATCTTAAACAGTGAAAATTATACTGTAATCTATATTTATTTTCTTATTTCTAATAAAATTTATTGAAACTAAAAACAAAATTTTGATTGAGTTGAGGTGTTTCTAATGAACAAGAACTGCTGCTTCTTGGTGTCTGATTGGCCATCGACCCCGATAGCAGCCGTGTTTATTTTCCGCCTAGCCAGCTGCTAGCAGAAAATAACACAACTCTATACTGGTATTCAATATACTCTATGCTCTCTTTCATCTCTCTATATGAAATGGCCCATAGACATAGGTGTGGTGTAATGTAAATGTGTCTTGCAGACGGCCTTTTTGCTGCTAAAACTTTGATGTAATCGACAAGCGACGCCATCTCCTACGTCGACGTAACGCTCATCGATCGCACAAAGTTTACTGATGAACTGGAGGCCAGTTCACGATTGTAATATAAGATTAAAGAAACTGGTTTTGAAAGAAACCAAAAATAAACAGATTAAATGCGTAAAGAACCAATCAGATTTATGATGACAAAGATGATTTGTGAGATTTGCAAAGAAAAAAGTTTATTTAACAGCAAGAATTTTAACGGAAACAACCTCCAATTCACTCTGAATTTTACAAACACAATACACAAAACACAATACAAATAAAAAAAAAAACAATATGTCTTTCTTCAAGAAAATTGCTGCTAGATTTAACAAGAAAGCTGCGACCAGAGAAGTACAACTAAATTTTGAAGGTTGGAATGAAAAAGAAGACTAGCCAGAACATCAACAGGAAGATGAAAATCCTTGGAATTGCGATGAAAAAGAAGAATCCACTTGGTCGACAAACAATAAAGAGGTTGAAGAGCCAACCACTACACTATCCATCGAACAAGAGAATCCTTATGATGTAGTTGTTGAAAGTACCAATAACAACTATTTTGAATTTGGATTGTTGGTTCTGGTGATGGTGTTGATGCCTTTTTCAATGGTGTTGAGTTGGATTTGTTGTGCTTTGTTATTATACAGGGCAAAATTCTTGTTAGCAAAATTGAAATTGGCAGATGGAGATTACGTTACTTTTTTTAACCCTCTCTTGATACAATACAGTCAAGGGAATATTAGAGATGTTTTTCAACACTCTAACAGACCCATCGAAGATACAATAAACCAATTGTTGGAGGATGAAATTGATTGTTTGAAGAATATACCCACTCTGGAAGTCTGTATCATCAATGAAATATATTATTTTTCAGATAATCGAAAATTGTATTGTATCAAAGAAGCAATCAAGAGAGAGTTAAAACTTGAAAAGATACCTGTCTTAATCAGAAAAGTAACAGATACGAACATCCAATACAAGTTAGAGGGTGCATACAAAATTGTTAAAAATAAGGATTTTAACAATATAGTTGTCTCTTCGTATGCAAGAAATGAAAGAGTAATTGAGGGTGATGGGTTTTGGGAATGTTGTATTTAACTGTATATATTATTTGTAAATATATATTTAATTAATATAAAATAAACATGTGATTGTCAGTAATTTCTGGTACATTCTAAAAAAATGATCAGCATGATTGCGTATTTGTATGAATCTGGATTTGGCATTCCAATAGTGATGCATGTGCGATTACGTAAGCGGGTGTGATACACGGTTGATCGACAGTACAAATAGACACTGAAACGCCCAATTTCATGTTTCTCACCCTTCCGTTGCATGAAGAAACAATAAGGAATACGAGGTTTAAATGATGCTTAGAGCATTCCCTCGTAGTGACTGACATGTAAGATATCCGAATTTTATTTGGAGAAGAGTACTCGTGGTTCTCCTGTTGTCAATACATGGGTGTGAATGGTTGGGTCAATTTTTTTACTTTTCTTCAAAAATCTTGGGAGAATGTACCAAGTAGCCAAGTGCATTTCTTGCTAAAACGATGACCGAAGTTTGCTAGTATCTCTTTGGTAGTTGGTCGTTTCGGGTGAACTTTCTCTGTAACTACTGTGCGTGTTTATGTTTTTCGTACATTTTGCGTAAGAAACAGAGAACCGGTCCAGAAGCTCTACCTAGAAATTTGCTTGAGTTTTGGGAGAA